GAAATTTACCCCCTTTATATCTTGTGAGTGGTTTGTTTTTGTGATGCCTCCATCCTTATTCTGTAAACCACATTTTATAATTTTTAATGATTAGAAGTAAATTTCATTTGACCCATGGATGAAAATCATGCAGAGTAATGATTCTTGCAGGTATTAGCTGCAATTTTAGCAATTGCAGGAAGGAAGCCTGAAAAAATTCTGGTATTGATTGGGTTAAAACCTGTGTCTCTTAGATGCTACTTGGTGCTATCATCAACTGAGCTTTGAAGCCACATGTTGGGAGCACATTTTCTTGAGGGATCTTCTTTCCCAGGGAGAAATCTGATCATAATTTATATTGAAGTTAATTTCATTACTTAACAAACCATATTGACTCTATTGCTTATCGATTTCAGCCAAGCTGGGTGCAAATGCAATCCTGGGAGTCTCACTGGCAATTTGCAAAGCAGGAGCAGTACACAAGGTCAGTAAAGAGCATCTGTCACTGTTGAATATCCCTTTTTTCTTTGGAAAAGATAAACGTTAATTTACAATGTTCTATTTACAACTAAAAGCCGAAGTTAAGTCATGCAAGATCATTCTCAAAATGTGTCCATGTTCCTGTGGTTCTGAACCTTTTCACTGACAACTGGATTAAAAACAAATTGCTTTTTTTTTTTTTGCTTTTCTTACTGATGCAGAGAAATGAAAAATTTATGAAGATGGAGTGAATGTTCAATGAAAGTTACCAGCCATGTTTCTAATCACAGTTAACAGACAAGTTATTAAATTCTTACTGAAACATTTAAATGGACGTGAAGATGTTGTGGACTTGTCCGCAGAAAGTCCAAAAATGCTTTCAGGATTCGTAGTCACCCTGTTTTGCATGTGGGCCCTCTCTCCATGACCAATATGAAGTTTGTAAGTTTCTTTTGTTAGGTGGTCCCTGTTAGCAAAGTTCATGGATACCTACCTACTAGAATAGAATTACTTAGCCCCTCACCCCTTGGGCTTATTAATTGGCAGTGAGTTTAACCAGGTGCTGTCCTTGTTTCAGGGGGTACCTCTGTATAAGCATATTGCAGACCTGGCAGGCAACAAGGAGGTGATTCTTCCTGTTCCAGCATTTAATGTTATCAATGGAGGAAGTCATGCTGGGAATAAACTTGCCATGCAGGAATTTATGCTGTTGCCAACAGGTTAGACACGTACAGATTTTACAATCATGGCTCTCTTCCTGCAGGAGTATGAAAAGGTAGAATAAAATGTAAGGGAAACTTGTTGTATTCCCTGGTGGTACTTATTTGGGGCTGACTGGCCTCATGTCCCTAAGAAGTAGCTATTTTTTATGTACAGTGTTCTCCTTTTCATGTGGTAACTGGTAAAATTTATGGCCTTTAGTATTTCTTATTATCACCTAAAATTGTTCGGAACTCTTGATTGGTCAAGACTAATGGTTTGAAAATAACTGTTTTCTTGCTATGCCTGAAGTAAGAGAGAACACTTCATGTTGCTTGAAAATTCTGTATTGGTTTTATTTGGAATTTGATTATGATATTTTGTGTTTTGTGGGAATGACTCTTTGGAATCCAAGGTGGCTGAAATTTCTCCAGGGAGCTAATTTTTGCCATCTCTTCATTATGCTCTAGAACTTAATTTTCTTTTTATTTGTGGAGTTGTTTTCTGTGGGAAGTTATTTTGGCACATAAAAGATTATCCAGTAAAAATAAAAATCAGCAAAATTTTCATGCGACATGGTAGTCGTAACTCAAGTAAAAGCCAGGGCAAGTGCTGGCATTTCATAATGGGTTTCAACTTAGAAAAGCTTAAGACTTATATTTGGTGTTTTTTAGGGGCCAGTAATTTTAAGGAAGCAATGAGAATGGGTGCAGAAATCTATCAGAACCTGAAAAGTGTGGTGAAGAAAAGATATGGAATTGATGGTGAGTAAGAAGAGCCCCCTGTTGATGGAAATTTGTATCTTTAACCAAAAGGACCTTAGGAGAAAGAGGTGCATTTTCCATTGATTTAAGATGTTGAAAATTGTTTTAACCTTTACACCCTAACATCAGTATCCATATTCCCCATACTCTTTTCCATACTTTTCCTTTGGGACAGACAAAGGAGAGTTCATTGTTTAATCAAAGCATCTTAGGTTTTGTGATCATTTCCTTTATTCTCATGATCTCAATGACAGATTCAGCAGTATTTCTGTAAGGAGAAATTAGATGCTGGTCATACTTAGGGTTTTCAGGGTTGAGAGGAGATATTACCTATTACTTTTCACATTGTTATCAACAATGATGGTAACAACTGAAGATTTAAACCACCTTTTGACACACTAATGTTTTTGTCCTCACAGCCGTTAATGTTGGTGACGAAGGAGGCTTTGCTCCAAACATTCAGGATAACAGAGAAGGTGAGAAATGTTCCCTTCCCCCACCCCCACACTCTAAAAAAACAAAACCACATGCTTTATTTCAGTAATATTCCACCCAGTTATCCAGATATCAACCAGTCTTGTTTTTAGAGAAAGATGTTTTTCATCTTGTCACAAGGGTGGGATAAAGTCCCCATAAGATATCGAACCTAGACTTTCAGATTCTATGCCTCTATGCTCTACCACTGAGCCTTAGACTCTATGGTGAGCAAGACCCATCAGGAATTCCTTTATGACACATGTCCTGCATACTGCTGGGATCAGCAATTTCAATGTTTTGTAAACTGAACTAAAAAAGGTGGTGCATTTTTTGGCTCGGTAAAGAAATAGCGAACAATTTTTTTAATCTTATCATGAGCATGGAACAAAGAAAAACTCTGAGGAATGGAACCTCAGAACTTCCAATGACCTTCTTGGTTTTTATTTGATATTCATAGGTCTTGAGTTGCTCAATGTTGCCATTGCCCAAGCTGGTTACACTGGTAAGATCAAAATCGGCATGGATGTTGCTGCATCAGGTATGGTATAAAAACAGTTGTTGAAGTATGAAATGACCTTGTAATGGCAAATTCTGTCGCCACAAGTGTTCTAACTGCCATGACAAGTACAGGAAATGAGAGAGGCCTGTTTTTGGCAACTATTAGTATACTTTAGTGTTTTTATTACTCAGTTTTTGTGGTCCAAGGGTAATGTGAGTTAAATGTTTACCCACATTTGTATTAAATATTCAACCATTGTTTATTTTTAAAAAAAATCATCTTTCATGGTAGTTGTCTGAGTATCAAGCCTTGAGCTTCCAAAACTAGTTACCATCCATATTGCTTATTTCTAAAAATCCTCTATCTAACCCTTATCCTCACCCATTTATGGTTATTTAGTATTTTAAACTGAGTTGATAGCATAAATTGGCCATAGTAAAGAGTTTCAAAGCTGACAAATTGAGCATTAGCCCTTCATCAGAGTAAACATCATGCAAGATTAAATTGCATTATCCATGAACCGTACTTTTTAAGGGTAAATCCTTAAATAGATAATTTCTTCTAATACTATTTTAAGTTACACTATCTACAGTAATAGATCACAGATGACATCAATATGCAGTAAGAACAGAAAAGTGGCACACAAGGTGCAGCTGACTGTGTCACTGAGGTTCTTACTCCATTTTCATGTCTTTTGTGATCTGTTACTGTACAGACACATCACAGCATGGAATCTATTAAGTTTATATGATAATAAATTAAAATCTTAATGGTGATATCATCTATGCATCTGTTCACTAATATAACATATGTAAGAACCACTCAAAATGTGTGTATCATTCAGCTTATCATATAAATGAATAAATACTATTTTTTTTTTTATTGATAAGTTGAAGTGTACTTTTCCCTTTCTTTTATAGAATTCTACAAGGAGGGAAAATATGATTTGGACTTCAAGAACCCAGAATCTGATCCCTCAAAATGGGTAGGTGTCATTGCATAGACTGATGAGATCTTTTGCAACTATAACCGGTATTACAGCTGGGGAAATTCAGAATTGTTGACTTATTGAAGGAATAAATGTGTTAACAAGGCTTGGCAAAGAATATTTGGCTCACTATTGAAATGCATTGTTCATTAACCCTATGCACCCTGACATCAATAGGCATTATTCTTCATGCATTTTCCTATACATTTCCTTTGACACTGACAAGAGGGATTCATTCAATGATCAAAGCTTCTTAGGTCGCTGATCATTTCCTTTATTTACATCCTTGCATCAATTAAGTAACCATATTCTGTATACCGATACTCTTCTCTGTACATTTGCACTGATACTGGTAAGAATAATTAATTTAACAATCAAAGCTTCCAAGGCTGGTGATCATTTCCTTTATTCTCATCATGCTCTGACTGAATGATTCAGCAGTATTACAAGAGGGAGAAACTAGATTTTAGTCACTCTTAGGGTTAAGGGGTTAAGAATGTATTTTCATCTCAAGCCTCTTCTCTTTTACTTGCAGATAACTGGTGAAGAGTTGTGCAGTATGTATGAAGATTTTATTGCCAAATATCCAGGTAGACCTGTTACTCTGTTGTCATTGATTTTTCTTGAAAATAAACTTAAAAAGAAAAACCAATGCCTTATGAAAACATTACAGAGAAATGGCTTCAAAACTTCTCTCTATATTCTATGGGACTTCTATTTTTCCCATGTTCTTCAGCATCACACAAATTGAATAATCAATTGTAGCTTTCTGACTAAGATATCAGGCTCTTTAAAAAGTCTACACCCCCTAAATCTTAATGTATAAAATTCTAAGATTACTGTCAGTGAAAATACCAGTTACAGTTACTGCATCTTTTTTCACCAAGTTGTGGATTTATTTTATCTTTTCTCTTTTCCTCTTCAGTTGTGTCTATTGAAGATGCATTTGACCAGGATGATTGGGAGCATTGGAGTCAGTTGACAGGAAAAGTAGGCATTCAAATTGTTGGGTAAGTTTGCTCTATTGATGATTTCTCTGAACATTACATTCAATAGTTCCTATGAGATAAAGGGGACTTTTTTCGAATTATTAGTTACTAGGCAATTGGTTGGCGGTTTGATATCTACAAATACATTTTATTTAACTAGGCAAGGTCATCCATAGCAATTTAACTCCCAGAAGGGATTAACAATAATGTAGCTTCTCATGACAATCTTAATTCAGTATCCAGCAGTCAGGTGATGAGAATACTAAAACCTTATCAGGTAGAAGTTTTTGTCTGGATCAAACACTAAGTTCTCTTAACTAATTTACTGGTAAATATGTAACAGCTAGAGAGGAGAAGTAACAATCAAATATTGGATGTTTAAGGGTTAAAAGCTATCTGTTAATTGAAAGCTGGGTTATTGGTTTAGCAAGAGTGAAGGTTGCACAAAATTCTGATTTGGTTTTGACTTATTAATATTTGTTTAAATTGTTGGCGAATCAAAACTAACCACCTTGATACTCAGCAGTTTGTGTTTCTAAGAGTAAAATATTTTATGTTAAGTAAAATTGTACATTTTTGTGCTTCTATCAGGGATGACTTGACAGTGACAAACCCAAAACGGTAAGTAAGCCTCAGTGATAAACAGCTCTGCAAGGCAGGATGGTTCACTATTTTTCACTGATATAAGAGTGAACAGCATTGAATTTCTGCTAACCTTAATACTGCTAAATCAGTCATTAAGATCATGGGAATGAAGGAAATGATTGCCAATCTAGAGAGCTTTGATTGTTAAACAAATTCTCCTTGTCAGTACCAAAGCAAATATCTAGAGAAGAGTGTGGAGAATATAGATACTGAGAGTGATGTGAACCACTGGTCTTGAGAACAAAGGCATATGACACAAGTTTAGTAGCTATCTTAAGTTTGGTTTCCCTTCTTATCTGCCACATTTGTAACTTTTGTGAACTGGTGAAAAAAATAAACTAGTCAAACATCATGATGTTTACAGCAGATTACTTCTACTAAATAATAATTTTGATCAACTCTTTAACTCTCAGAGGTGATCAAAATGTAACTTCTCCCTGTAATATCTATACATTATCCCACTAACTAAAATGAGAATATACAAACTTAGCAGGTAGAAGTTGTTATCTTGATGTAATACCAAATTCTGGTAACTAATTTACTACAAAATGTGTAGCAGCAAGAGGGGAGTATCAGATATGCAGGGTTAAAAGGTTAATGACTGCTATCTTAGCATTGATCCAAATTTACAGGATGTTCAATGTTGATATTTTGTTCCTTGACTGCAGCATCAAAATGGCTGTGGAGAAAAAAGCCTGCAACTGCCTTTTGCTGAAAGTGAACCAGATTGGTTCTGTCACAGAATCCATTGAGGCGTATGTATAGTAGCTCATTTTATGTTTGTTGCATTTTGTTTGTTTGCTTGTTTGTCCAGTCTTTTTGTTATGCAACCAAAATTTTATTTCAGGTGACCATATTGTTGATTTTCTATTGCAAAATGGTGACTTTGAATAAAGTTGGGCTTGAAATCCCAATTGCCTCTCTTCACCCAGTGCTGTAAATGAGAACTAGCAGGTTTTCAAGAAAACCTGATGAAATACAGTGACATAATCTGTGAAAGATTGGCATCCATTCCATAAGAAGCATCAGTGCTAGTTGCTTCATGCTATGGAAATGGCAACCAGCCTAGGAGGAAGTGTAGATAGCTTGGCTCATGTGAGAAATGTTGTTTTTGTCATCACCAGGTGCAAGCTTGCTCAGCAAAATGGCTGGGGTGTTATGGTGAGTCATCGCAGTGGAGAGACAGAAGATACTTTTATTGCTGATTTGGTTGTGGGTCTGTGCGCAGGACAGGTGAGATCACCAAATAGATTCCATTTTGTCTTCCTTCTGTTCAGTATTTGATTGCAGATGACATAAAAATGTGGTAAGAGTAAAACTGAAGCACACAAGGCACAACTGAGTGTGTCACTGATGTTCTTACTTTATTTTGATGTCTTGTTTGATCTGTAAGTGAACAGACTCACAGCTACATGGAATCTATTTGTTTTATTTGATAATGAAGCCAAAAAACTCTCAATGATGATGTCATCTGTAGGTCTGTTCTCAAAGTAAGAGGCCAATCAAAATGTATGGGTGATTCAGCTGATTATGTAACATGAAGCAATCAAATCCAGATTCTAAGACAGCAATGAAACATTTGTTAAAATCGATGGGTAAAGTTTGATTCGTAGGTGTAACTCAACATATCAGTGGTCTCACAGTTCAGAGCCAGGGCTGTTAGTGTGTTTGAATGAAGAATAGGAAGAATAGGAAGGTAGCTAGGTTTTTGTTGACGCTGTGTTGTCTTGTGAGATCACATGCAAGACAGGTAGTTATTCAGTTAAAATTTTCCAAGCATTCTTCAACGTCAGCATGAACCTTCGGAAAAATTTTTAACTTGAAATTGATTGACACATCTGAACCTGTTACTGGAGTATAAATGGGTTCTGGCAAATTGTCAGGTAAGCTTAACGAAAGCCTAACAAAATGCTGGTGGGGTATTTGGGATGAACTGGTATCCCAAACCTGGGGGAGGGGGGGGGAAGGGAATACCTCATTACTGCTAGTTACTTCATGCTATGGAAACCAGGATCAGTTCTGGCTGGATGGACCACTTGGCCTGGTTTCTTGAGCTTTCTGGCTTACTTACCATATTCAAACAATTTTATGCAATGATTTCATACAGACATAATCTTGCATAGACTTCAAAATAAGCTTTGACAATCTGGCTGATGTTTTGCCTTGCATTGTTTGTTTTTCTCTTTTTAGATCAAGACAGGGGCTCCATGTAGGTCTGAGCGATTGGCCAAATACAACCAGCTTCTCAGGTAACTGGTGTATATGTTTTCAGTGCAAGGTGTGACTAACAAAAATAAACAACATTTTGTGACAACATTCTTTTTTTTTTTCCCCCAACTTTCTTAAGTTAACCAGACAAGAAACTAGTTGTCAAGTTGGGAAGTTAGTCTCTTTGGAGTACATTCCACCTGGGTCTCCAAATTTTGACCTCAGCTTAGAGTACATTTGCACCACCATGTTCTAGATGTTGTTCACTTTTTGATAGCGTTCAAGAAGTTCTGCATGCCACGTGGGGTTCAACAGTTTGTTAAACAAATTTTCTATGATGGTGGGCAGTTCTCTTTGAACTTACAGTTTCTTGCTTTAGAATTTGAATGTGTAATCTTGCCAGCTTAGAGGATCCTCATTATTTGTAACAGTCCTGGGATTGGTAAGAATAATTATATGTTTTGTTGGTCTTTTGACAGAATTGAGGAGGAACTAGGAGCTGGTGCCAAGTACGCTGGAGAGAAATTTCGCAAACCTCTGGAATGAACCAAAAGGCAGGATGAGAGCAAATGAAGTGGGAATTGTGAAGCTCTGTCAAGATGGCTTGCCAATGGCTGGAATGATAAATGTGGTAGACAATGTGTCAAATGACAAGCATTTTAAATAAAGTTAAAAGAAGAGAAAACACAACAAATAAAATGTGTTCTGTACTGTTACTTCTTTTGTTTCATGATTTATTTTAACCCCCTTGACCCCAAATAGTGACCAGCATCTAATTTCTCCTTGCAATATCACCCCTGAATCAAACATTAAGG